CCATTAGAGCTAATATATCTCTATAAGATTAATAAAAGAAATATAAACCTCATTTATTCAAAATTACTATTTTGTGATCAAACTATTTATCTTTTACGCACTGGCCCACTTCGTGCAATTAATTCAGCCTTGCAAAAGTTCACGATATGCGAAACTACGGCAAACCTTTCTGCAACGGGGCGTTATCCGAATACATAAAAGCAATTCCATGTCACAGATGGTGCAAGCTTAATATTTCAACTACACCTTCAAGGGCCACTCGCGAGCCTAGCTGGTTCCGGTTGCAAATCTAAAGCAAACGCACTGTATGCAAACAATGAATCAGGTGAAACAATGAATCCGCAACCGGCGTGAGGCAGGCTTGTCAAACACGGCTTATGGATACCTAGCTTTACCTAAGGCAAGCAATACCTCATCGGTTGTAAATCTGTCACTGCAGCATTATTCCTCCGCGTTTGAACAATGATACATATAGCAGTGATTTCCAACAGATAAGAGACAGGACCGTCAAACGGGGCTTGCCCGTGGGTTTGCCCACGGCAAGTCTCTCTTGACAGTCAGCATCCTGATCTTTACAACTGCAACATGGCAGTCTCGTCAAGTAGGGCTATTCCGAGGGTGCCTATCTGTATCCATGGCAAGCTACTAGATGAGCCTACAACCTGATTCATTCACGGCAAACAATGCTACTACGACAGATTTACAACCCGCGCGAGACAAATGCAGCAAGCGAGTTTCCTGTGCGTGCCTACCTTAACATATGCAAGTCGCGCTTGACGAACCTTCAGCGTTCTGGTTGTACTTGTATATATTTTTGTTAATGCTACCTACATCATTGTTTTCACATTGGGGAACAATGCAGAGGCGGCATCTGTTCAGGTGCCGCAAGCTCGGCTTGCAAGCTGCGCTTGAAGATATTTAGGGCACTTAGGTGAATTTCTAAGCTTGCTATGTTGATGACTTGGTTGACAGATTTACAATCGGTGCAAGGCGTCAAGTGCGACTTAGCCGTGGGCCCGTAGCATTACCCACGGCAACCTCTGCTGACGAGCCTTTTGCTTCCTGAATTACTGTTCAGGCAACAGGGCTGTGATTAGTAGGGGGCGGATTTTGAAATTATAAAAATGGATTATAAAAATGGGTCATTTACTTTTGTCATATCATAAAATGAATTTTTGAACTAAAAGTCATCGTTCTAAAGTGGAAAAAAAGACTCATTAAAATCCAGCACCTAGTGATCTGTAACCAATGCGAGGCAGGCTCTTGAAGTCAGGCATCTTGATTAATTGTTCATGCAAGGGGAACAATTCAGCGGTGATTAGTGATAGATGCGAGGCAGGTTCATGAATCCAGGCTTGCACGTGGGCGCGTATCTCGTGGAGGGGACACGAATGCTAGCTTTACAACGGTGCAGCTCGTCAAGTGCGACTTGTCCGAGGGTTCACCCACGGCTTCAGTAGCTTCAACCACGGCAAGTGCTGGCGAGCCACACGCATCCTGATTCATTGTCTCAATAAGGGGGCTGTGGTTAGTAACCGGCGGGAGGCAGGCTCGTGAAGCCAGGCTTGCCCGTGGGTGCGGATCTTTTGAAGGGGCAACGAATGCCAGCTTTACAACGGCGTGACTCGTCAAGTGCGGCTTGTGCGTGGATACCTAGCTTCACCCACGTAAAGGGCTGGCGATCCACCTGCAACCTGATTCATTGTGCCCACAACAGGGTTGTGATCAGCAACCGGCGCAAGGCAGGCTCGTGAAGCCAGGCCTGTGGGCGTGTATCTCGTGGTGGGGACACGATTGTCAACTTTACAACGGTACAGCTCGTCAAGTGCGACATGTCCGTGGGTGCGCAGCTTCACCCACGGCAAGTGCTGAAGCCGCACTGCGTCTCGATTCATTGTCCCACAACGGGGCCGCGATTAGCAACCAGCGCGAGGCAGGCTCGTGAAGCCAGGCTTGCGGGGCGTACGCACCTGCGTCAGGTGGCCTGCGGGAGGCGGCGCGTTGCTGCTAGCAGCGCGAGTGGCGGCGGCGCCGAGGACTAGGCTGAGTGGGCGGCGGGGGGGGCGGCGGCGCCGGCGGCGGCGGCGGGGGCGTCGGCGGCGGCGCCGAGCGGTCGTCGTCGCGGGCGGCGGCGCGGGGTGCCGGGTGCTGGTGGCCCGCGCGAGGCCCGCCCCCGCGCGCCGCGCCGCCGCCGAAGCCGCCCGTCTCGCCGCCCGGGAAGCACAGCCGCACCATCTTCTCGCGGTTCTGCGCGCAGTCCGAGTCGTCGCGGGCGTCGCAGCGGCACGAGATGAGCTTGGCCGCCTTCTCCTGGCGCTGCAGGATGGAGATGCTGTTGTTGCACCGCCGCGAGCACTTCTTGCCTGCAACGGGGTTAACGGATGCTCGTTATTGCGATTTTACTACGCTGTCAGATATGTCTGCATTACTTTAAGGAATTATCGAATGATCGCACATTAAATTTAATGTACACATGTTCTTTATGGATGCAATAGTCAAAGCTTTATGCTCATATCTGCAGGGAATGAATGAGTCAATAATCTTGATGGGCTGGTGATTATGAATGTACTATGATATGAATGATGGGAGGCGAAGGAAACAGGGGAACCTCTACATTAAATTTACACTGATATTAATTTAAGCATTACATTTAATGTACAAATATATTAAGCTCTCTTTAATGTACAATGTACGTTCCACGTACAGTACATTAATCTACATTCAATTTAATGACGTTTTCGACATTGTAATGGTCTGTTACTGGTCGCAGGCCGGAACAGGTCACATTAGACTATTATACAGTTATAATGAATTCTCATATCTTAAGAAATTCGAAGTTTGATGTTTAGTTACTAGTAGCGTATTTATTCCAATGGTCCTTTCTACAAATTAAATTATTATATTAATATCAACTGTTTGCGTTTTAATCAAATCTGCACCATTGACATTTCTAGTTTTCAAGCTATTTTGAATCTTCGTACAATATTGTCAACAATAGTGGATGAATACTTGCAGAAAATCCCATCCGGTTACACATTTCAAGAAGACTTATCAATAATGTATACAATTAGTTATTTTATTATTCTGGTCAGTTCCCTACTTTCCCTCTGAATACGGTTTCTCTTTTTCGTCGATTGTCAATATACTACAAAGTTCTCTCTCTGCATGTTCAGGCGAAGAGCGACTTAGTATGAACTAAAGCTTACCCACGGCCGAGGAATTTTTAGTGTTGTGCTCGTTTCGAAATTCGGAAGCATATCTCGAATTGTAGCAACCCCTTTCCCGGGCATGTAACGTAATACACTTCCTTGTGCCTAGTGGAATGTGAGAATTTCTATCATGATCGGAATCAATCGGAAACATTATTCGTAACATTTTTGTGAATTGATAAAACGCGTTGCAGCGTGATCTTGCATTTTGACAGAACCTGACTCCAGAAAACATGAATTAGTGTGTAGTTTCGGGGACCAGCCTCTTAGTAAAATGAGCTACGCCAAAAATTCGAGGTTTTGTCAGATTTCCTTTCCTTTTACTTATATATTAGTACGCTAATGTGTTGCAACACAGAAAACAATAGAATGACACTACCTCGTGATATTGAACTATTTTAATGTTATTAACCGAATTATAATACTGTAACACAATTTTACTTTTTGAAGTTGAACCATTTCGTTTCTTGATTTCTCTATTTTCGAGCTTCATCAGATTATGCAATCAGGACCTCATCTTTCAGTTACAGATCAGGTGTAAAACGTCGTCCTTGTACCGTTCTGGTAACGGGGCTGTCACCAAAGCTCGACGAAGATAAATGAATGCACCACTTGAGAATTTAAATTATAAATCACCTCTGGTTAGAAGATTATTGTTATTACACCGCGCAGTCAAAGTATAGAGGTTGCCTACAGCAAAGGTCGACTCGTGAACATTAGGCGGTAATGCCTCAGCTAATTCGTACCCTAAATGACCTTTTCCTTCAAATGCTTGAAGTCTAGAAGGTGTAAATTATTATAATAGTTTTTCTCCTAAAATTCGAAGGCAGATCATTAAGACACTGCAATGCCAAATGAGGATTTTTGCTCATACAGACCATGATTATTATTTGCAAAATACAACTTAACGGTAGTTTTCAAAGTAAATTATCAGACTTAATCTTCACGTATTCGTATTCTTCTCACGTTATTCTATTTTGTTATTCAGTTTGTTTTTTTCCAAGTTTTAAGCGATTCGATCATTTTATGTTTTTTAAGAAGTGAACTCAAGCGTATTGTACACAAAAAAATGCCGCTCGAGTTATTAAATCATCGGCCGTTTCTTATCGAACAGAAAGGGCAAGAGGTGAATATTTAGGCAGGACTCCAATTCATATCTTCGAATGTGGGCACAAGATAATTTGTTCTTGGAAATATCCAGTGTCCCTGAATATCGAATCACTCGCTGAAGAGTTCGTTTCCAATATGTGAAGTTCCGATACGTTATATACTGAGTTGCATGTTGCTAACACATCTACCGTGTCTGCATTCGTAATCCGTTAGGCTGAATTACAAAGCTTTATCACATTAAAAGGCTTATATTATTTTGAGTATAGCTCCTCGTTCCTTCTTTGTTGCCAACCTTCCGGAGAATTTCAGTCATGTATGATCGCATGGCCCTTGGAATGGAAGTGAAGACAGCTTGAGAAAGGAATGATTGTGCATGCTCTGTGAGCCGTTGCTTTAAGTAAAACTAGAAAATCCGCCTAGATTGATCGGTCGCAACCAGGGAAGACAATTCCGAGAGTCGGGCATCTAGAATTTTCAATTAGACTGAGGTGACCTCCATTTTAACTACGTAGGGGCAGTCAAAGTGGATCATTGTCCAGTCTAATTCGTTTGCGGGGGGGGGGGGAGGCCGAATATTTGCCTACCAGCATGGAAGAGGTGACTAAGAGCGTGTACTGACTTGGCTCTTCGATCCGAAGGGTCGCGGATTCGAGGACTGCCTTGTTGTTTGTCCCTTGTCTCTCATGTATGTGTTGCCGAGGAGGGTCTCACGTACTACTCGCCCCAGATCAGAGGAGCTTGCAAATATATTGATGTATAGGATAACCGGCTGTCGGTTGGATAAATAAACGAATATTTCAAACACTCGCACAACAGCAGAGACGGTCGCACTGTGACCGACCCATACATGCGAATACTACTGACCTTTGAGGTTGACAGACGGTATCAAGTGAACTGGGGCTTGAATTGGAATTATTCGGCCGACCTGACCCTTTCAATATGAATTTGAAAAAATCGATTCGTTTGTTTATTAACCAAACGCCCTCTGGAAAACCTGTTCACTTTCCAGAAATTATGGCAGGAAATTGCAGACGAAATTGAGGATGGATTGCTGTTGGCTTTTGCCCCTAATGAAACTAATTTCACTAATACAATAGAAATATGAAGTTTCAATTACAAACACATATGTCAAATCAAGTATTTCGTATTAAATGTAGCTCTAGACTATACATTTAAATATTTTCGCTTCTATTGCATGTCGCCTAGAACACACGGATTTGGAGACGAAAGTCTGCTGCAGTCGAATGCAGGGTGACCTCTATCGTCCGGCAGAATCAGGCAGCCGTAAACGCCCCAACGTTTCTTCGGCGAAATACCATCCTCTACAGTTCTAGAATATGCACCTCTGTCGGAACTTGGTGCATATCTTTTTAGATCGTCCTTTGCAATAAAATGAATCATTCCTGATTTTTTTAAATAAAAATAAAACCTGCAATAGTTTTGGAAACATCTTTACGCAAATATATATCAAATAACTGACGCTGAAAATTGTAAACCTAAGCGTTAGTCCAGCTATCTTTAGCAACAACTTATTTGTGCCGGTTCGGATAACTGAGATCGTTAAGGCAGTAGTGCCGTAGCGATTTCTGACCGAAGGATAGTGGGTACTTAAGGATCGCAGGTTCGAATGATTGTGTCGGCCCTTTCACCCCCTACCATCACTATATCATGTCACATTCATAGTTATCATACAATTAAAAGCAATAGTGGTTGCTAATGATCTAGAAGTTAATGCGATCTTAGATAATAATTTTAAAAAATCAACTAACTTTTGTTTCGATTGTTCTTAACGACCGAGGGACGTTAAGAACCGCCACCTATTAACAGAACAGTATTACGAAAAGTGTTTAACGAGGTTTGGGCCTCACCTTGGAACATGGAGCGGCAGAAGCGGTGGTAGTAGTCGAGCGCCATGGAGCACTCGGCGTCCGCCTTGCAGATCCACTGCGCCAGGCGGCAGCTCACGATGGTCGTGTTGAGCATGGCCTGCTCCACGTGCGGCCGGCACACTTCCACGCGCTTCTTCGTCTCCTCGCAGTAGTCATCGCCGCACTTGCACTGCAACACACCCCGCCCCGCTCCTTGCATTCCACTGCGCAGGGCTGCCTCGCGCGCTCGTATTCACAACGATTAGAAAATCAAAACTAGAGCTATAATGGATGTTTCGTTTTATAGAATTCGAAGCCTAAAAGGATAGCGATTATCTCCAATTTCTAATATTAATACCTGGTTTATCAGTATCCAAACTCTTACATTTAGGCGCAAACACACCCACACTATTACAATTAAATAACACCTCCAATACAATCCCATTCTACATAAAATTACCCTCCAAACTGGAAATAAAATAGAATCCATGGAACGTCTCAATGGGACTGTCGATTAATGTATATCCTAAGTAACAATGGATGAGTAAATATAGATGAATAAAAAATGTACAGCAACATGCCACCGATTAAAATTGTGTAATGTACTCATAATAAGAAATTTAATTCTTCAAGTTTAAAGTTAATTCAAACGCAAATTATTAAAAATCCAATCAATAGTTAATGTTCTGCTCTATTCTCCGTCATCAGCAGCGTTCAAAAACTTGCCCATACCCCCTCCTTTCCGTGAGGAGTTGTACGGTAGATGCAGCATGGCCAAGTGCATCGGGCCCGAAGGCTCGTCCGGGAGTGCGACGTGGGACTAGTCGCCAAATTAGAAGCAGATGTGGGACACCGGAAGTCGCGACGTGTGCCTCCGCCCCAAACCCCCCGACCCCCGTCTGGGAAGAGAGGCGTCGGTGGCGCAGGCGTGTGATAAATGAAATCCGGGCGCGAAACACTGAAATGAAAATGCGACGGGATCGTGTTTACGACTTGGAGAAGTCAAATAGGTGTTCTCCCACGGCGGCGGTGGCAGCGACTGCGTAACATGCGTGGGGGTGGCCTGATTCTGGATATGAGCGAAAAGTAAACAAAGTGATACAAACTGGAGACTTATTGCTAAATGATTCTTTTTCTAATGTTTGAGGCATTTTTCTTCATATTCGACACATTCGCTACATCTGAAAGTATTTTTATCTTATTGTAAAAACGAAGTAAAAATGATTTTTTCAGTATACTACTTTGTTTCTTCCCTTCCTCACACGTGTGGAACAAACTTTGGTTTTTATAAATTCAGAATCAAACTATGTACATATTGAGTATGAGAATGATGTAGTATGTATGAATAAATTTACATGACAATTGGTCACAGAAGGAAGTATGCCAATGCATTTAATTTCGAACCGTCAAATTTTTAATGATTTGATTAATTTAGAAAATATGTTACAATGTTTACTCAATTTTTTTTCTTTTACATAATGTAAAGTGTGTAAAAAAAATGAATTATCAAAGTACTTATTCAATGAAAAGTAGTATAAAGGCTTCTGCATGAATTCATAAATGAACGTATTGTAGATAAATATCTTTCAGTGCAGTCATTTTTAGTAGCAAATAATCCTGAATACAATATCACTTTTCCATCGCCTTCTGGTTTCTATTCAAGCTCGTAGAATTCCTTTTCCCATTGTCTCAGAGGTGGTCCGTGCCACCAGTCGATGATGGATGGAGTCGCTTTCGATGGAAATATAACTGTTTATGACTTCATCTAGCCAAGTAGGTCAACATCTACGATTTTTTCGTGAATATATAAATTCATCTCTTTTTGATTCTTGTCAACACCGCGTTTCAAACGCTTTTTTTTACCAATCATGCTTCTAAAACATTCACAATCAATTTCACTTTTGATTTGAACTATTTAATTATATACAAGAGCCGAGTGAAATTAAGATGAGGAATTCACGAATTTTTGATCTGTACACACATGTAATCTTTGAGAAGGATAGAACTAGAGTGGCATTTTTATCTCACAGCTCAATGTTCAAATTAATAAAACTCACAGAATCCCCTAAATGTGGACCATATTTATACTCATCAATACCATTAGCCATATGTATACTCATCAATACCAATACCAAAGCCATAGTAATGGCACCAATTAGACTAGCTGGTTTAAACACAGTAATACAGAAACATATATTACAAACTATCGGAACTAGGAAGATATACGACATGCATGAAACACTTAGAAATAATACGATAAAATATCAAAAAATCCTAGATTTATGCGGCTAAATGATTTGAGTACACTACAACTATTGTTTAATTTTCTTAAATCGTGTTTCAAGCAACACTCATTTACATTTTCTGAATAAATTTCTGTTTATCTATATTTAATACAGTTTACCACTAACGTGAAATTCGGATATCCGAACGACTTTGTAAAAGAAATCGACGTAAAGGGCCAAGTTTCAAAATCGCAAACTAATAGGTATGCCCTGTACAGAGAATCCATTAAAGGAAAAGCCGGGCTTCGGAGATCGGGCGGGCGGCGCCTCCGAAGGCGCGCCGTGGCCGCGCCGCGCGCCGACTCACCGTCATGAGGTCCTTGCCCTCGTCGGTGGAGGTGAGCGCGATAGAGCGCGTGCTGGCAGTGCTCGGGGCAGGCAGCGTTGGGCGCCGTCGCCGGCGGCGCGCCCCCGCCCCGCCGGGCGACGGCCGCTGCAGCGCGTCGAGCAGCTACCAATGTAGTTCTGCAGCGCGCGTCCGCAAGCCCGTGCGAAGGCGCATTGAGCGCGCGTGCTCGCACGACGACGCGGGGGAGGAGGGGGAGGAGGAGGAAGCGGTCGCCGCGGCCGTCGCCGCGACCAGGGCCAAGGCGGGCGCCGGGCCCAGGCTCAGCGCCAGCCCCCGCGCGCCGCCGCCGCCGGACCACGCCCACGACGGCCCCGGGAGCAGCGAGCACAGCAGCGCCGCCACCGCCGCCGCCCACGGGAACATCCCCCGCTCGCTACCTGCGCACACCACAAGCACGCCGTTAGGCAAAACATAGGGCGCTCAAAGTGAAAAAGGGGATTTAAATGAATATGAATAGGTATGTAGTCAGATGAAGCTTGTAGGCAACATTAATACAGTGAACATGAAGGCAAAATTTTAGAGAGAGCGAGAGAGACAATTCGCAGATGAAGGGCTGTATAGTTATGGTCACCCCTTACTGGAACATCCATCGCTCGCTACCCACGCACACCGTCACTTCAACATCATCCCAGAGGGAGAAAATATGAGGTCATGGGCGCTGGGCTACATGTTAACGTATTTTGGATATTCCCATTGTGGAAACGTTTTAAATGAATATGTAAATTCGCAGATAGATAAAATTAGTAGACGATATAAATACGAATAAAAAGAAGCCCAAGTTTTAGGGAGTAGGTACGGAGAGAGGGAGACAATAGGCAGAAGAAGGGGTTGAGTAGATATAGCCGCCTCTCATGGAAACATCACCTGACCGCTACCTGCGCCCACCACAAGCACAGAGCCACTCGAGGAACACGTCGGGAGGAGCAAATAGAGCCCTGTGATACATTTTAACGTGTAGTGTACAAGTATTAAATGAATACATGGATTCACAGAAAAAAAAACTAGTACAACATTATGTGAAGGAAAAAGAGATTGAATTTTAGTGTAAAGAGAGGGTAAATGAGAAAGAAAACAGATGAATAAATCTGTAGATGACCGAGAATCAATAGGGAATGGTTGTTATAGCAGAGATTTTGCATAGAGTAAAATAAGAGTAAACCACTAATGAAACTTCAGATATCACAGGCACAGTGAGGCTATTCAACGAATGACATGAGAGTGTGATGCGCTTGTTTAAACGTTTAAGCGGTTCATTAGACATTGCTTCCAACTCAATCGACGGTGTGATGCAATGTCTGTAATGCATTTCCAACTTTGTAAATTTAATGCTAGGAAATAGAGTAAAATTGTATTCTCAAAAATTCTAATTTGGAAACCATGCCTCTTACTAAGAGAAGGGCAACGAGTACTTATTTAATTTTAATGCTTTGAAATTTCTTCTCTTTTTCTGTGAAGAAGAATGAGATCTTCTGGGAAAGGCATTTTACAAGTGGTCGTTTGACGTCTTCGTATTCTGGCAAATGTAATATCCAGACTTTTATGATTGAAGAGCTTCAGCAGAAATACCTTTATTGATCATTTTGCAAAAACGAAGTCAATTATAGTTTTTGGACAAGGAAAGAAAGGCAACGTAATATTTACATCTCGTGGTTCATCAGTTACATGATCAATTTGTCTACTGTATATTACTAAACGTTTTATCCAATTTATATTCATTTTTAAGTAGATTCGTGCAATGAATACGAAAATAAACCATAATATTCAACCTCTTTAATTTTAGTGTTAAAATATTTGATATACTTAAGAATTGTTATAAAATGTTTAAATAATAATTGGAAGCTCCTATGCAGCGGAGTCTCTATGCAAATCCTTAGTGTGGACTTTGCATTAATTCACTTCTGCTTCCAGAGCCGAATTACTTTCTTAAGATGCTCTGAGCATGATCTTATCTAGAGGCCAAATTGTTATTAAAACAATTTCACTACATTTCACAACGTGTTTGAGCAAGTAACTCACTGCTACAGAAACACTACTCGCTTTTCCTACCAAACGAAAGTGAGTGTTTTCCTGTCAAAAAAATCGCCGATTTCCGCTGCACGATAACAGCACTTCGTACGTGGCAAGACGAGAAAGCGAAAAGCGTGCCGCCCGGCGCGGCGCGGGCTGTGTGCGCGGGCGAGGCTCCAAGGCCGGGCGGAAGGCCGCAGCACGCGGGCGAGGAGCGCCTCCGATGACGTGTCTCGCTGCTGCGCCCGAGAGCGCCCCGCCCCCTCCGGCGTTGCCGGAGTGGGGGAGGGAATTCCTACCCGCGCACGATCACGATGTCGTAAACTTCGTTTACGGCCTTTGTACTCTCACTCCCCTGCGAAGACTGCTGTGCCTCGGCCGCATCCACGCGCCCGTAATTGCCCGCTGATTCAACACGTGGTGCGCGGCAGCCACCGCCACGGCGCGGTGCCTGCGATGAGCCGCCTTGCCAAACGATATTTGCAATCCATACCGATAGCACAACCATGTACTAATACCTAATTTTGATGTTTAATGCCATCAGGTAACAATACCTTCAATAAGTATTGGTATTGAAATGGCACTCCGAGCACCGGAAATGTGTAGTTAAGAGCATGTGATGTGGCATGACGCAAGGGTTCTGTATTGAAGAGAAAAGTGAAAGTACTCTTCTCTCTTTAGGAGCGGCAAACATGGCGTATGGGAAGATGATTCGGACGGTTGGGAAAGAATGCTATTCTAAACTTTATAAAAAACGTATACACTGGTATAAGATAGTGGGGGGGGGATGAAGCTGGGATAACGTAGATGCACCAGTTTAAAAACCATATACCATCGAAAATAAAAGCATGGGAGTGTCAAGGATCGAAAGTATCCCAAGGTCTCGTACTATGACGTCGCAGTCTTGTTGGCTCTGCTCTCTTTCTAGGAGAGAAGAT